TATATCTATATATATATATATATATATATATATATATATGTTGCAATTTAAATTCTTCTACATACTTTTCATACCTGTTTTTTGTATGAGATTTTAAATTTTAAATCTCAGTTGCATTGTTCATATGTAATTAAAATAATCATTAGTAATTGAAGAGAATAACTTCTTACTGTATTTTAAACTTGTTTAAACTTATAAAATATTTATATTTCAGCATGTTCATTGGTTTTTCCTGCCTGCATTGTAAATGGAACAGCTGTCAGTAAAACATTTCAAATTTTATATAAAAATGAAGAAGTTATTTTAGATGATATTATAATTTTTAAGGTACACACTCTTATAGAAGGGCATAGGGTAAGTTGGTAACTTTTAGTTGTTTTCTACATTTTATCATAAAAACTTTTTTAGCTATTGATTTAAATTATGTAGCTATGATTTTGCATGCATATGTTACTAGTTTGTTCCAATATAAAAGAAGGCAGAACGGTTTCATTCTTTAATACATATGAGAAAGCTGATCCATATTTAGTTCTAAAAATATTATGCATTATTAGAGGTGGTATTAAGTTTTGAGCCTTGAATGTTGAATTGATGTTGACTTGTTTTGTTTTCTCAATGCATGAAGATGGTTTAAAGGAAACTAATTTTTATAACTCTAACTTTGCCATTAACTACAGCTGCTTTTGAAAGAGGTTTTACAAGTCAGAATAAATTCTGAAAAGCGAGGTTTGTTGAGGATGAATATTTGCATAACCTTTCCAGATTATTCTTTGTCCCTGATTCTCCAAAATCTCCTTTTCACAGCTCAAGTGAAGTTGTCTTAAGAAACATGAATTTTAGACATACTGCTAAATTGAAGCACAAAAAGTTAAATATATGATCACGGAGATTTGTTTTTTGGAAACATCAGTATAATTAACATTTAAATCGTTTAAAAAAAATGAGAAATAATTTATTTTACTGAAATAATCTATCAATAGTAATTAAATGTTTATTTTGCATAATTAATATGTTAGGTTTAATATAATCTGTGTTGTAAAATAGCAGTAATTTCCAAAAGTAATCTTTGTTTTGAAGTTACTTTGTTATTTTAAATTTCACTCTTCAAAGATTATTAGAAGAGTGAAATTACTCAATAAAATTGTTTTTTCAGACACTGGGTTTGACTATGAAAATCCTGTTTTGTAGGAAAGCAACTAGGTAGTTAAAACATCAGTTCGTGAATATAGTGTATAAATTTTAATTCATTATGTGTTAGAGTAGACCTCTTATTTTTTTATCTTCTAACCTTTTGAAAATATTCATTTTTAAGTGTATGTGTCTGACCTCTCTACTTTTATTTTTCTTAACAGATACGAGAATCTTTTTTGAAAGCAGATTTTCAAATTGTTGTTGAACTGTGGTTTACTGATCAATCTTTTGGGTATGTATTGAGTTAATTAATGAACCATTTTAATTACTGAAATGATCTACCTCAGAGTACTTATCATAAATCATTAATAGCAAATAATGAAGCCTTTTAAAGTGTAATTGTATATTAAAAGCAACAAAGTTATTTATTTTTCAAAGACAGAATATTGATCAGAAATAATTTATCTCAAATTATGTTTTGTAATGAGTGATTTGCAAAATTTCTAAAATACAGTAAATGTTTGATTATGAGGAATCCACAAATTTTAGGTATGTGAAAATTTTGGATATTTAAGTGCCAAAAACCTCAATCCTTAATATTACCTTATTTTCCGGGGGGAAAATACAACATCTTAAAAAAAAATAAAACAAAGCAAGAAAATCTAACAAATGACATTTATAAAAAATCTTATAAAAATAATGATGAAACAAAGAGTGAAAAGTATAGTAGCTGTCTGCCCCGTATTCTAGTAATTGCAATGTCCTCTATGTGTGAAAATGGCGAGACAATGAGTGAAACTTAGAAGAAGTTAAATAAATGGAAAGGAGTGGTTATATTTTGTGTTTAAACAAAAAATTGTGTGTTTAGTGTTCTTAGTGACTGTATAATGCTTAAATTTTGACAGAGAGTGCAGAGTAGACACATGCCTGCTAACATTAGTATTGAAATGCTAAATAAAAGTGTGAAAACTTCATTGATTCGGGTAACTTCTTCCGTTGACTCATATGCTTTATTTTTTCAATCACTAGAATAAAAATTAAAAACAAATTTTTTTCTGAAATTGGAACTTCTTTTAATTATCTTGGTTAAGAGAGTTAGTAATTTAATATTATATGTGTCTGAAGAAGAGTTATGTATTTGTAACAAATTTAAATCTTAAGTTTTAAAAATAATTTCTGCCTACATTGCGAGAAAGCTATAATAATTTTCGTGTAGAGAAGCTCAAAGCAGTGCTTATGTTCAATTATGCCCACAGGTATTAAGGAATGAATTTAGAAATGTGGTAGGTAGATATATTGTTTCAATACACCTTGAAGATGAACCCTCGGGATTAGGCAAGTCTAGTGATTTGCTCTCTTCGGATTTAGATCGCTAAGGAAATGTTTTTTAAAAGATGAACAATATTTAAATTTTTATTACAATTTTTTAAAAGAGTATGAGAAACTGGGTCATAAGATTGCGATTACAAATAAAGATGCACTAGAAGTTGCATAGTATGCTACACATCATGACATTTTTCATGTACAAGAGAATAGTACGAAATAATAGTTCCTGCTGTGTTTTGTTCTTCATTAGCTAAAACTTTAGGTGTTGATGACTAAATTTTGATATAGATATGCATTGACCACAGACGTTATAATGATGAAATAAATTATTTTAATTAATCCAAACCAATATTGTCTAAAGATAATATTGAGGAGTGAAAATGTAATCCAAAAAATTATTACCGATAAATAAAAAAATACTTAAATTGTTGATATTTTCATTCTTACTGATTCTGATTGTTCACACTTTTTCTGTGGTTCAGGCTAATACCCCCACCCTTGTAATTAATAAATTGTGGTATGAATTGTCATTTTTCTACTTTTTAATTCTAGATAGGTGGGATGTTTTGAGGCATAAAAATGAAAGGATCATTTTTCCATGAGAAATTTGTATACTATTGGTGAAAAAAAGTGTTAGATTTATTTACAATAGGTATTTCAGGATATTTAGATGACAGTGATTTCCGGTGGACAAGCCGCACCGCCATACAGGCCGCACCGCCATACAGGCCGCACCTGCGAAAAGCATCGCTAAAAATTTCAATTTTCATCTTATGGACTGCACTTTCATTTTTTTTTGATCAATCATCGATGTTTATCAAATATCACATGCATGAAAATACACTTAAAAAATAATAATCTTTGAAATATAAACTCTATACTTAGGAAATAGTTATTGATAAATCTTTTTTTATGTATACTTTTATTATAAAAAGAAGGAATTGAGAATGATACTTACTTACAGATGAAACACGTATAACCAATCAAAATCGTAAGTTGAGAATGTGTATGTGATGAAAAATAAACTGATCACAAAGTGAAAGTAAATCACAATTTTTTTTATTTACTTTTCAAATATTTCTGATCATATATTTATTCAAAACCATCAAAATCGGATTCTTCACTGTCAGAACAAAACAAACGTTTTAAATCTTCATTCTAGTTCATTTTCTATGTCATCTTCATCATCCCACATCAAGGAAGGAACATTTTTCACGCAAAAGCGTGTAACAGTAAGATAAAAGAACGAGAAGGAAGTGTATGAATGGAATTTTGTAGAACAAGTAGGGCAGACGAACTAAAGAATGTGAAGAAAGCAGTGCAATATGTTGAAATACTTACGATCCCCCTTCTCCCTCTAGGTCACCTTATTCCAGGTGCAACCAGGAAGAATAACTATTTCATTCACTAGTTACAATAGTAACGGTCTAATGTACCGCAGCCTTTGAAATGTAGATTCTTCAGTGACCTTCAATCTTCATTAAAGAGAATAAATAGTTAAAAAAAAAAAGAATTGCTAAAAAGAAAATTAATGATCACGGCAGTCATAGGAGGGGCGGAACTTGCGGAAGGATTCTATGATGTCCAAAATGTTTATGGCATCGAAAGCCCAACATAATTTTAGTGTGAGTAAAAATTAAACACTTCCCTCTCCTCTTCGGACTGTGAAATTCGGAAGGGAGAGATAAAATGTTTCGTTCTTTCTCCCCTCAATCCCCTGCCATCATTAGCACAATGACCTGTGTGAGGAAGGGTTGGGAATGACAGCAGAACATATAGAAAGTTAAACAAATTGTTCTTTTGATCACTAGTTGTAGACAGATGATTTTAATTTTTTCTTTGTTTTTCGTTTTGTCTCTAAAATTTGATTTGTTACGAAACTACTTATCATAAATCATTAATAGCAAATAATGAAGCCTTTTAAAGTGTAATTGTATATTAAAAGCAACAAAGTTATTTATTTTTCAAAGACAGAATATTGATCAGAAATAATTTATCTCAAATTATGTTTTGTAATGAGTGATTTGCAAAATTTCTAAAATACAGTAAATGTTTGATTATGAGGAATCCACAAATTTTAGGTATGTGAAAATTTTGGATATTTAAGTGCCAAAAACCTCAATCCTTAATATTACCTTATTTTCCGGGGGGAAAATACAACATCTTAAAAAAAAATAAAACAAAGCAAGAAAATCTAACAAATGACATTTATAAAAAATCTTATAAAAATAATGATGAAACAAAGAGTGAAAAGTATAGTAGCTGTCTGCCCCGTATTCTAGTAATTGCAATGTCCTCTATGTGTGAAAATGGCGAGACAATGNGTAATACACTAATGATTATTTCCAAATGATGGTAAGGTAAACATCTTTCAAAAAAGGAAGAAAAATCTTATAAGGAAATTTTTTTTTTCTTTAAAAATGGCGTGAAAATTTATCTAATTTCGTTCCCGTTTTCTGATTTTCAGATAACGGGTTCTGTACTGTATATTAATAGTTCGAAATCTTGTTCCATTTTATTTTTGGTATTTTCTATAAAGTCAGTAGTGGGATTTGTTTTGAAGAATATGGTTTTTTTTTTCTTTCTAGTTTGAGATTTTTTCTTTCTTTCGAATTTAATCTTTTTTAAAATTTTTTTTTCTTTTTTTTCAAATGTAATTTTTTTTCTGTCACAATTTGACAGTCCTTACATCAGTCAATCGGCAGATCTGTGTCAATTTAAAACTCCGTGATTTCTTTTTTTTGGCGCTTTTATTTAATGCAGTAGCATTGTATTTCCCCCCCCTTTTTTAAAATTTTTTTCTATATCTTATATATTGAATGCATTGGTTCGCAAAAGAGGCAGAAATTTTTAATTAGCGTTGAAAAATAAAGAAAAAGGAAATACAACTAAAAGTATCTACTGAAATCGGATCGATGCATAGAACAAAAAGAGTTTATTTTCTAGTTTTGTGACAATTTGAAAATAAAACATAGATGAGAAGAAGGGAGTTAAAAATAAAGTGTACTAAGTTTAATTATTCTTAAGTTACAAATTGGAATTTGTCACACCATTTATAGATGACATCATGCGATTTTTCGTCAATCGAAAACTTCTTTATTCAAACTATATTTTAATGGAAAAAAATAAGAAAGAAAAACGTTTTCTGAGCAAACATTACGAAATAGGTTCATAATTTCGGAAACTTTTTGATTAACATATGCTTTTGATTAAATCCACCGTGATCGAAAAATAATCACATATGGCTTGGGATAAATGACTTCTTCATACATCGGCACACAGGCCACACACCGTGACAGGAAAACTTTTAAACACATGTAGGCCGCGGCCTATCTTCCGGAAATTACTGTAATTAATAGAAAAAGTCAGTGTCATTTTGGCTTTCCATCAACAACATAATAGATGAGTATTTAGTATGTTGTTCATTTGACTTAGCCAGAGGAATGAACCTGCTCTCAAATTATTATTTTTTCATTTGCTTTAGATGTTTATTGTTTCTTCTCTTAGTTCTGTTTAATAAGAATTATTTTTAAGAATAACTTGGTTTAATTTTTCATATCAGATAAAAGGAATAGGAGTGAGTGGCAACCACTTTCTCTTCAAAAGAGAGTTTTGTGAGAATTAAAAACTATTATTTTTCTGTGCATTTACCTGAGTTTTCTTTGTGATACCCCCCTTGAAAACTGCCAGTGATTGCTCGGTTTTGCAATACAGCTATGGCTTGTTAATATCTGCTGTTTTTATCTATCTCAAATATTTTAAAAGATTTTCAATTTTATTGCAAATATTTATGTAAAAAAATGATAAATGACAATATTTTGAATGAATAAAATAAGTTCATTAATTAGTATTCACTATAGTGAGTTTGAGAAAAAAGTTTTTCTTTTCAAAACGCTATAGTGTAGAAAAAATGCCGTATGGAAAAAGAAGAGAATTGATATAAATTTTTTTTAAATATGTTAATATTTATGGGTCATGCATCGCACTTGAAATTAATAAAAACTGACAAACTTAAAATTTGCTTAAATTTTTTATGCTACTTAAAATTGAACAATCAACATTATATGGTTTCTTGTACTTAATTTATGGTTTAAAAATGTAAAATAAGTTGAAATGTTATCTTTATTTCAAAGTATAATGGTTATGATATAAGTTTAAAATATAAGTTTTTTTTTCTTGCTTTATGCCATGTGCCATGGTTTCTTATTAGCTAACACAAAGATAATTATTGAGCTGGGTTTTTGAATGTTCAGTTATTGGGCCGAAAGGAATTTCCTATAGTGCAAATTATCAAAACACAAATGTTATCCCTGCTGTTTTTAAGGGAAATTTAGATTCTTAATTGAAATAAATAGTAAACATGTCAATTTTTCTGAAGAAGCCAGGACACTGAAGGAAAAAAACAACAACAACAGAATGTTGGTATGACAAAGCATCTATCTCTACAGTTTCTAACTACAAAATTTTTCAACTAATAACTATTTATCATGATTCTTAGGAATTTCTAACCTGTTTGATATATTTTTCGTACTTTGGAAACTTTTTGATGTATAATATTTTGAATTAATAAATAATATCAATAATCAATACAGTAAGTAAATATAGTCATCTTAATTATCAATATGCATCCTTGTGTGTTACAAGCAGAGCTGAAGGATGATTAAACAGGAAATTACCCTAAATATTTTTTTCAGCTTAGTCAACAGCACTGAAAATTAAGTTACATGCCGTGAAGTAACTTATAAATTTTCTTTCATAGATATTATTTTGCTTTTAAAATTTTTATACATGCATGTTGTCAAATGCATTTCCTGTTGCTCACAATCATATCTAACATCAAATATTCTGTGCAACCAAAAAGTACATTTCTTTGAGTAACTGAATTCACAATTTGAAGTAAATCACCAAAATGCAGCAATATTTGCATTACTTAAAAATGATGTTTGTTGTTATCAGTTATATGTTTGTTCTTTCTTGACAAATTGATGATGGATTTATGAAGTTGAACAGTTCTACTGGTAAGGGTTAGAGACTTTGTCGTAAAAGCATTTTATTCTCTTCTCTACTGTCCCAGCTTCATATGTAAAGTTTACACATTCGCCATTTGTTACAATAAGCAATTTGAATCTCTCTTTAAAACAGCATGAAAGAAAATATTTCTGTATCAGTAGTGTGCTCTGAAGGAAAGTATCTTGAGGTCCAACTGTGAGACATTATAAAACCTGCTGTTAAATTCAAGTTCTGTTTGACTCATTCAAATGTTATTATTTATTTAATTGCTTATATGCAATACTATTCTACCAAGGAGGTAAAAAAAGTAGAAAATTTATAAATTACTCAAAAGTAAATCATGTTTTCTACCGTACGGAAAACTTTAGAACATTATAGAAAAAGCTGGACTCAAAATGTTTTAACTAGTTCCTACTTACTGAAAGAAAAAAATGTTTCCAAGTTAAAGAAAATATATTTAGATATTACAACTGCTGAAGCGAAATCCTAAAATCAAATAAAAAAATCTGAAATTCGAAATGTCTCATGAAACACGTGTCAGAACTCTTAACTTTTCAGGGCCGTACAAACTCCTTGAAAGAAGTTCAAATTAAATGCATTGCTTATTATCTAACCCAGAGAATATCTAATGCGGTGGTTAATTAGCTATACAATGGTAAATGGAGAGAAACTTGATATAATTCTTGTTTAAACACATTAAACAATTAGTATGCATTGAATTATCATATTTACCTTTTTTAAACCATAAATTAGGCAGAAGAAACTAAAAGATGTCTATTTTACAACTTCGTGCGGTGTAAAAAAAAAGAAGGAAATATATTAAATTTTGTAAGTTTTTATAAATCTAAGTGCAGTGCAGGATTGGAAGATAACCAACCACTTTTTAAATTTTTTATATCTATTTTCTTTATGTATATATATATTATTTTATTCAAAAGGTTTTGTTACAGCATGGTTTTTAAAGTTTCGATGCAAATTTAAATCGTGCATTTCAGTTAGCAATCATTTTTTAATCTATTTGATTAGCGACAATTTCACAGTGAATCCACATGATTTTGCCGATCTTTTGCGGTCGATATTAAAACGGATTTTCACTTCGTTTTTTCCCACAATGTTTTAATACGATATTATTTTGATCGGCGAACTCTGAATCGCGTATTCCGCACTCAATTATTGATGATTCACTCGCAATAGAACATGGAATTACGATCACATTTTTGTCAGTTATTGTTACCGAATTTCATAGTTTTTTATTACTACATTATCATACACGAGAAATTTTGAATCGTGCATTTGTGGAATTACTTTTTGATGACTAGATTTGTTTTGGTTTTATTGTCCATGTGTTTTTGTCAATCATCATTTCAACGGTTTGGGATTTCGACATAATTTTTAAAATGTGTGTATAATTTTTAATCTAATATTATTACAATCCGCAAATTCCCAATTGTGCATTTAAATAATCAATTAATGACTCCCTTCTGTCGTGATCGCAATTTTTCCAAAATGGGGCATTTTTGTGCACCCTGAAGTTAAGTGTGTGATTCTTGGCAATAATAATCCTTTTATGCGAGACGCAGACGTGAAAAAGTGCGGAATTTTATCTCAATTTCGTGAAATGCTGAATGTTGTTTTTGTGATATCAAATTTTTTTCATATTGTAGCGGAAATTGGATTCAAATCAAACAAAAATCAAAAATCTGATAAAAATAAAAAAGAACCGGAAATTGGCAAAAAACGGAGGATTTTCATTCCTGCGCACTTTTTCCCAACAAGTTGCAAATGTAAAAAAAAAGAAGAAAAAAACATTTTTTTTTGATAAGAGAAAAAAGAGTTCTGTTTAATTTGATTGTGTTCTGAAAAAATACTCTAACGGTTAATGGATGTCCGGATATGGGACTTTCCACCGTATATCTACATAACCGTTATATATATATACACACAAACACACACAATCTTTGAACCTTCAAAACTTTGATTTTTTTTTCATTTATAGTAAAAAGGTGGACTTCACTATCATACAATTTCTCTTTTATTCAAAATAGTCAACTTCAAAAATTCTTATAAAAGCATCATCTTCGAAAAATTTAATTTAAGCACAAAAAGTTTTACTGTATCATATCTGTATATGAAACTATAGCTGTATGAAATTGTCTAAACTTTTTATTTAAAATATATTATGTTAAAACATTATTTTTCAATTTATGCCTATTTAATTTTTTTTAGACCTGATCAACATAATTCCATCCACTGTGTTAGTACAAGAAATTTACTTTTACATTTTGATCCAGCTAGAGGACTACATCACCATATACCTTTGTTATTTGATTATTTCCATTTGAGTGCAGTTACAATTACAATTCATGCTTCCCTCATCGCTATATGCCAGCCATATTTGAGGTTTAATATTTTTATTATATTATAAGATTCTCATTTAGTGCTCTAAACTAGCACATATAATGTAAAGAAGCGTGTTATTAATTTCAATTTAAATAAATTACTTTAGTATAAATAGTTCATTATTAAAGTTTGGTAACAGGTAGGTGCTTAAAATATATTGTAAAATTTCTGTAATTTGAAGCAATGTTAAAACTTGAAAAATTAGAGAGTTATTAAATATTGTTATCTATGAGTTATTCAATTTTACTGATAGAAAATTGAAATTTTATCATTTTTTTATTTATTTTATATCATTTAATTATTTTGAGTTGTACTTAAAAGTGAATGTACTTTAAATGTACATCATGAAATTTATGGGTACATTTAGTATAAATTAAATTTTAAGATATTAAGTTTAGTAAAACTCTCTAAAAATTATCTAAAAGAAGTGACATCTAGATGACTGTAACAAAATCGTTTATTTCATTTATCAGCTGTGAATGAATCCAGTTATAAATAGTACTCAAGCCCGTTGCAAGTATTAAGTATCTAATAGTAGTTATTTTATGAACTTAGTTCAAAGTAGCTGATACTTGTCAATCTTTCTGAAAGTAACCAGACTCATTATTGGATTAAAGTTTACCAACTAAACCATTTGGAACTGTTTCAAAGAGCTGATATTGATACAAATGGATATGATAAAGCATTTTCTTTCAAACATAAATACAATTCCATTCCTAATAAATTTCTCCAATTTTTTGTTTGCATTTTTATGATGTATTTAATTAGTTACATCATATTTAACCATCCATTTTTTAACAACTAAATAAATTACCAAAAATAAAATATAAAAATTTATTGTTTAGAATTAGATTTAGTTATTATTCCTCTAATTAATGTAAGAATTTGTTACAGATATTGAATCTGAACTAATAATAATGGATGCACGTTAATTAAGTTATTTTAAACAAAATATTTGTGATTTTTTGTTCTATTTAAATCAACTGATGTTTAAATTCAAAATCTGAAAGTGGAAGTTATGTTTATAATCTTTCAATTTTTCAGCCTTTTTATTTAGATCTAATTATAAGATTGATATGTATCTAATACAAAAAGTATCAGGCACTTGTAACTGGTAATTAGCTGTATCTGTTTGTGAGTGATTGCAGAAAAACTGGAAATTTTTCATCCCTTAATTTTAAGATATTTAAAAATTTTGGTTAAGTGTTTGATGAAGCCATATTTAATTTTAAATCATTGTATTGACGTAAAACAGCAAAATTCCATTTCAGGAAAATATTGTTAATGGAGTTAGTTATATTTGAAAAAAAAAAAACATTTCTCTTACAAAGCTAATCTCTTCTTTTCTAAACTTATTTTAAAAATATATTTTGAGGAATTAAAAAATCTATTTACCAAATATTTGAATGGTTATGTATATTATTGAAATTGAATCACCCAGGGAATGAATCTACCAAGAAATGAAAGCAAGAAAAGCAGACATATTACATTCTATCAGTAACACATTTTATACAATTTAGCATTCATTGATTATGTTATTTTATTCAAATATTTGTACTAAAATAAAAATTGACTAACAGATGATTTTAAAACAATGCATTTTATCACTAAATACACATTTGGTAAACGAGTTTTATAAGTGGGTGCAAAATTTTTTAAAATTACATTATTAGTTTTAAAGATATGCCTGAAAATGTAGATAGCAAAATTAACATTAAGAGAATCTATTTCCATTTGCAATTTATTGTCTGTCCTTCAAACCTTTAAAAACTGATTTTTTTCAGAATTTTTTTCTCAATCCTTACTTTCTTAAAAGTTATTTTTTGTTACTTATTAATCACTATATGGTTTATCTTTTTTACTTGAGTGCTATTGTAAGTTTTGAAGTACCAAAATATTTTATTTTCTACTGAACCAGGTATCAATCTTTCCTTTTGATCTAAAACAAAGAAACCAAACAAATCAATTTCAATACAAAAAAAAAAAAAAAAAAAAAAAAAAAAAAAAAAAAAAAAAAAAAAAAAAAAAAAAA